GTTGCACCTCCAGCTCATGCAGGAGACTTGAGATGGTCTCAGTAGTGCCATTTTGCCCTCCCCTGCTGTCTACAGCTGTACCACTGTGCTTTGGAGAAGAAAACCCAAAGCCAGCTTTGTGATATGACAGCAGCATTTTGTTTGTGTTTGGGCTGGACCTGGTTCAGCCCCTATCAGACTGGCTTGAGTTTGTCTGTGCTTGTGCTTCAGAATATCAATTCATGGTGCTGCCGTGCATGTATTGAATTTATTCTCTTGCAGCATTTTGTAACTCTGGTCTGTTCCATTATTCATGGCAGTTGAATTCAGTCTTTTTTCAGGCTTTCTATACGTTTCAGAAAGAAGAGGAGGGAAAAGTGTAGAGCTGCCTGCTGTAACTGCCCAGGTTTAGGCAGCTGTGTAGTTTCAGCTGAGGTCTGACTTTAGGTTGAGTGAGCAGGGCTCCACTGCTGTGTGCTGGAGAGACTGGTGCTGCTCCTTTGGGCTGCATGGGGGAATACCACCAGCGCAGATCAGGATGAAACCCAGGGTGGCTTCTTGATGAGTCTGGCGGGTTCTTTCCTGTTATTCACGAGAAGAGTGTATGTGGTTTCAAAGCTAGGTTGTCTGGAGTTGCTGTGTGGATCTCCATGTACCTTCAGCAGTCCAATGCAGGCCTGGGGATCCCTTTGTGTGGAAATGTTGTGCTTATGAGCCTAATTCCACGGTGATTTTGTCCACCTTGATTAGCAGTGTGCTTTTTGCAGGACTTATTAGAGAACAGGGTCGGAAGGGAAGAATAGTGTGATATGAAATTGACTGATCTGCTTTAACCCTGCAGTACAAGTATAAAGAAGGGTACCGCAAGCAGCTTGGCCACCACATTGGAGCCCGCAACATAGAGGACGATCCGAAGATGATGTGGTCGATGCACGTAGCCAAGATCCAGAGTGACAGGGAGTACAAGAAGGCGTTTGAGAAGACCAAGACACACTTCAGCAGCCCCGTGGACATGCTGGGAATTGTGTTGGCCAAGAAATGTCAGGAGCTGGTCAGCGATGTTGATTACAAGCATCTTCTGCATCGCTGGACCTGTCTGCCGGACCAGAACGATGTTGTACAAGCCCGGAAAGTGTACGACCTTCAGAGTGATGTGAGTTATCCTGTTGTGGGTGTGTGAGAAGGGGAGGTTGGAGTTGTGTTGTGTGCTGTTTTTGTAGAAGATGGGGAGTTGTGGAATCGTAAGATAGGTGATTATGTGATTCTGTGCTGTGGCCGTGCTGCCTGTCTGAGTGTTGAATGGTGTGTCCTGATGTGGGGAGGAAGCTGTTTGTGTGACATCGTTCCTTACGTCTGCAGAAGTGTGGTGCCTTAGCTTGAGAGTTTTGGGGGAAGGATTGGTGCTGGTGTCAGAAGTCCTGTTTAATATGGGTGGGCAAAAGAATCAAATTTTTTACTTTTGGTTGACCATGGCTGGGCAAACACAAGCCATCTGTGCAGATGGGAATGGTTTAAGGTGCATTAGGTGTGGAGGAGTAAAGCTGCTTGTGTGCCTCTGCCATCCATCATTTGGTGAATGGAGCAGATCT